TTCCTCAGCTGGATGAATCAGGGCGGTGGTGACGGCAACACCGGCAATCCCGGCACCGGCGGTCCCGGGCCGAATAACCCGAACGCGTCCCAGGGCGCCTGGCAGAATCATCCGGGTCAGCGCGACCAGAAGTCGAATACCTTTCTCAAGTACGAGTAAACTCAGCCGGGGCCGTGGGTCTACTCGTAAAACCAAGCGGATCCTCTATCCACGGGTCCCGACGCACGAACCTTAACGAACGGTGGTGACTGAAGGGGGGTCGGCGGGTCGAGGGTGCTAAAAGCGCGTCGTCCCCACATAGGAAAAAGGAAAAATAAGAGACAGAGCCTATAGTATGTTGACGTTTTTTCTAATGTTTTGCACTAATCGCCACTGCGTGTATTATAATATTTCGATACCCTCCCCACTCTCTTACTGATTTAACGAATTAGCACAATTCCGTTCGTTAAAAGAGTTTAGGCTTACGTCGAGGCGCGGATAGCTCCGATCATCCGAACATGCGTTCACCCGGCTTTTGTGTGATCTCTCTCTGGTTCGAGCGTACGATCTAGCGGCATGAGTAAATTGGATATGTATGTTTGTGGATAGCGTAGCTGCGCGGCAACATGAGACTATGTATTCGAATACGTATATATGTGCTTAGTGTAATGATTTGTAAACGTGTGGTTTATAGTTATTAATAGGACATATATCCGACGGGGTCTAAGTCAGAAGGAGGGTTGAACTACGTTTAGCGCGTGTGAAGCAATCGTTCGGCAGGCACTCGAATAGAATGGAATGGTGCAAGTTTGGATTGTAGTTGTCATTCTTTTCCATTCTATTTGAATGCGTAACATCGACCCGTTGAACAATTGCCAAATGACTGGAAAATAGAGCTCAAGCCTTTCTTCGTCATAAATTTCTCCAATAAGCCAAGACTTCGGATATTTATTTGGAAATATCTTGGAACATTTTCAAATGAAATAAATCTCCCGTTTATTGGTGAAAAGGTATGAATGTGTCGGAATAGTTCGCAAAATGCCTAGAGATTGATCGCAGCTATCCGTGTTGTATATTATTATTGATCAGTGCAGTCAGTGCACCGGGGGGGGGGGGACACCCCGGGTTCTAAGTGACAGCGCTACTATTGATTTGAACTTACGTTTCAAATATTTCAGAGTGTAACACATAAGTAGTCTATTACGTGAGAATTTTACACTGGTGTGCAGATGTGTCAAAATTATTGATTGGTTGTGTGTGAAAGAAGGCATTTGAATTGACCAGATTTTTCTATTTTAATTGAGTGATTTAAAGAAAACAGTAAGAAAAATGGTTTAGATGTCTTATATGTCTGTGTATAATGTGCAAGTTTTTGAATGAATATCTTTGATGAGAAGACTTTCGAACTGTTTCCTAATTGAACGATGATGAAAGAAGTAGCTCTACAAGTTGAGAGTATTTATTTTTCAAAAAAAAACAAAGAAATAAAGTAAAAGAAAGTGTCATTAGTGGCAGGACGAGAAAGAATGCAGTTCACATCTCACAATTATAGTCAATAACTTTAACATATGAAGTAATTGCATCGCAATTAAACTTAAAGATCGTATTCATCACCGCGATATCACTGTGTACCGCATTGAAAAAAATTATTTAGATCGATTATCTCAGAAAACACTATCTTATGAGTATATTAATTGAAAGAATAAAATAATCCTCTTAAGAGATGTATGTGCTGTTGTGCTTTTCATTTTTATCGTATAGTGATTTCTCATAAACTTCCTACTTGACGCGAAAAAATATACTACTTAACATACAACTCTATTAATAATAATACTCTCTCTCTCTCTCGCACACTCTTTCTCTTTCATTAGCATAAATTCTCGTCATTACGTGTCGCGTGTATAGATGAAAAATTCTCTTCTAACTTTGAAAGCACCGATTGGATTGTTCGACGCGCGTGTGTGCATGGCGGTTGAATGTATTTGTTAATGGTCGTCTCAGAACTACAGGTGTGAACGTTTTTATTACTGGCAAACGTGATAATGCCACTTTATTTAATGCACTGAGAACGCATGTGCTTGGCAGCGCGAAATGGAGTAATGAGACGACTGAGTAATAATATATTAAGGCGAGTGGTAAAGCTGCGGTATAGGTCTTAGATGAGAATGAACAAAAAGTCGTCCAATGTGTGTTTGGTATATACTTAGACCGAGAGGTTATTTATATACATATAATATATGTAAAAAAAAGAAAAAAAAAGAAAAACGGCTAAATCTCAGACTCTGATGAAGAGATAGGCGAAGGTGGAGTACGTTGATCGCACTTTTCAAGTTTGTAAATTGTTAAATCGATCTATAACACAGAGGCTGTAGTTTAAGACAACTTTTAACAGACACTAGAACCGTACCTAGCTTGTCGTTGAGGCACGAATGTTCGCGCTTAAATTCCGTTAAATACGCGGAAGTCGTTTCAGGGAATGCAGAGTTCCTTACAAACAGCGGAAATAGAATATAAAGTAAAACTTATACAAAGAGTAAAGTGAAATTGTTGACTGTACGATAGTAGTCAATCGATCAACCCGAACATTCGTGCGTGAGTCGTCGCGATTATGGATCTACATGGTCTGATAATTAAGTTCGTAGACATATATATATATCTTTGTTTTCTCTCACCCAGCATTGGAAGCCAACGAGATATGAAATTTATATTTCATCCCTTCGCTACATTCCATGTCGCTCGCGACAGCATTGATATTCAGTAATTGTTCAAAGAGCACAAATCAATATTCCCGTTTAGCTTGGAAAGAATGGCGAAGAAATGTTGCTCGAATAAACTTTGCAACTTGTAAATCAATTTCGTTTTATGAACTTAATTGTCAAATTACGTATTTCAAATCGTTTGAAATAGCGGTGCCTACGATATTGGGCATCTTTGTGATCCCTCAATTATGATCCCGTGCAGGAATGAGTTTTGCGCGCGATGAGAGTGCTCACTGCTCAAAGGATGCCTTGCAAAACGATTTGGAAGTGATCTACGAAATATGTAAATACGGATTGATATAAAACAATTTTAACATCGCTCATGAAGTGTAACGAATTTTATCGTAGAGTTAGTTGCGCTGTGTAAATTGCTCGATATTGTTGTGTCCCGAAAGAGAGAGAGGGAGAGAGAGGAAATGAAATTGCGTGAGAGTCCGAGACGTGTGTCGTGAAACGTTGTCGTGTGAGAATGTTGACTTTAATCCGTCGATCTCTCGGCTGCTGGGAGGGGGGGGGAGGGATTTCGGGCTGTGTCGAGGAAGTGCACGAAAAACTATGAATCCGACATTCTTCTTTCACACTTTTGAAATAATCTCATGCTGCAAACGAATCGAATGAGAAATTGTCTGTCGAGGTGTTTTTACGAGTGCGAGAACGATTTCACGATTTATCTAGGTACGGAAATTCCTCGGAAAAAAAAAAAAAGAAAGAAACATCGCAATTGCAAAGCCCTTTTGTCCACGATAGTTACGGTATGTTGCGCGAAACTTTGTAGATATGAATATTACACAAACAAACCGCGAATGGCATTCGTATGTACGTTTTCCAATTTATGCTGACCATTTTACGACGTGAAATTGTAAAACATTTTTCGAGTTCGACGTGGTGCGAAAATACTCAATGCTCTCCGTAACGTTCTCCGTTGATTGTAGTGTATGTCAAACTATGCCGAGAATAAAAGACCCAAATACCGTGGGGTATCACAGATTCCTTCAAATGCGTGCCTTTAAATGCGAATCAGTGACGCACAATCACAAAAAAACTATTGGCTGTTACAGAAATTCACAGTATCGTCTTTTGTTGCGAGACTTGAAATTGATTTCATTCTGTTTACTAATCTTTTCCAAATTACATTTTGCAACAGCCAGTATATCCGTTTAAAACTGATGCGTCTGTAGAACAAACGATTTAATACAATATTGTCGGATGAGGAAAATTTTAATTTATTTGATATATGCGTTAATGCGAAATTTTTTGCAAAATCCTTTCTTAACACTCGCGTGTAACAAGTTTTAATTTACTCTTAAACGAACGATCGTCTTTGTTGAGAAAAGCAAAGTTGCGCGTTTAAAAATAACTGTTGTCCTATCGCGACACGAGGACAGACTTAAGACGACAATTATAACTAGAGAAGTAAAAGCGAGCGGAAGAGTTTGAAAGGTAACAGAGAGCATCGGTAGCCAGCCTTTCGGTGATGACTGAATGAAGACGATGACTGAAGTAAGCGTAAGACTACAGAAGCGTCCGCTGATTCTCCAAACAGGTGATTACGATCTTACGACATTATTTCTCTTTCATAACGCCTCACAACGATCATGTATAGAATAATCACTCTGGCTTCCCGCAATTTACGGAAAATTTATTTTTGTACATCCTGTCGTACATTATGTATATTTTTAATCTTTTCTTTTTTCAATTTATGCGCGCTCGCCGCATTTGCAATAATTCTCCTCAGTGAAGCAGGAAAAAGAGTTCCCCGTTAATTTCCTTGCTTACTTCTCTCGGAACGTGACCCCCTCGTTCAAATGTTTTCTTGTACAAAATTGTTTATTTCACAGAAAAAGATAGTACGATAGATGCCAATGAATTTCAGGTAGTCCATAGCCGCATTGACTGATATTTATGGAATTATGTTTCTTATGAAATGTAGTCTATTAACCACGTTTCATTATATTTAACAAGCTTTATGAAGAAACTCTTTGATATGGCAAAGCTTTGATATGATTTTGCTCGGTGGTTTTCGTCGTCCTCGAACTTTGCTTGTTCAGAGAACACAGACCTGACGAAGAACTTCTTGCAATGAATTGATTTGTTAAATGCCGCTTCTCCGCTGCAAAGTTTTGTCTTACGCAAAAATTACATGATTTGTACTCGATGCTTTGTTGACGTTTGAGAACATATTTGTCTTAATACACCCACACAACCCGTTTTGCCGTGGCCGATTAACAATTCTCACAAAGTGTCACGAGCGAGAGATGGGATTTCAGGCATACCTTTCGCGCATTCACTATCTTACTCTGAAGCCGCAAACTAGGCATGGAGCTGAGTTACCAACAATTTTAAGGAATGAGTCTGTCGTGTGCGTTTAAAGAAAATGAGAAAAGGTCACACACACACTGCGGCAGTTATATCCTTCTATTTTCTCGCTCATTTGCGTCACGTCCTGGAGAACAGTAAGATCATCCATCTAGGAAACAATCAAAAAATTACAAATTGGAATGTTAGTACTCTAGTTAGCTCCGATGATCTGGTAAATGCCGGAAAACACTAATTCTGTACGATTCTGTTCAACAGCCTAGATGAATATATGTAATGATGTTGATGTCCGTGAACGTACCTCTTGGATAGACACGAACGAACAAGTGTTGACAAATTGATGCAAGTGGAAAGACCGAAAGAGCGAGCGAGCGAGAGAGAAAGAAAGGTGAAAGGATTGGAGATGAGAGAGTAAAAGGGTTGGCGAGAGAGGAGTATATATTTTTGCAGGAGAATAGAATTTGATGGGATGATGGTGATGATGCACTGCGCCGAGAGAAGTTGCTAGACAAGTGTGGAGCGAGTGCTTTTTTGAAAGCGTGAGGAGTTTTTTCGTAAGCGTGTTGATCAGGTTGCTGCGAAACATAAACGAAAGCTGGGCAACGCTGGACAGTTTAATGCCTTACCGTGATTTTGCTTTCAGATTGCGAGAGCGATGGTGATTGATCATGGTTAATTCGTGCTTACTCTCGTGGAAAGAAAAACAGATTATTCTGAGCCGGACGAAACGCAGTTGCATTTGGAAAGCAAATCTATGGAGTCTGGAGATGTGTAGAGACTTGAAACCGATGACCAGCAGCTAGTAGCAGTACAATTAAAGTAATTCTTTAACTGTATTTCCAATATTTTATTTCATATTAAAGTCATTAATTTGACTCACTATATAGCAATAATTTTGATTAAAATTAAATATTGTTATTTCAATACTAAATGTTTTAGTGTTGGCGTATCCATTATTAGTTGTATAGATTGTTTTTTTAGTTATCTATTTCAGAGTTAGCAGTTTGTTAAATTAATATCATTGGAGTTGATATTACGCCAATTGGTAAAATTTGTCAGAAATGGATTTACATTATTTTGTTGTAATTTGATAATTTTATTCATAAAACTTTGAGTATTATGTCACTATCTTTAATGCATATTTAAATCTAAGACTGTGATTAAATCGATATTCTAACAGCTATTAATACTCAAAGTTTTATAAAATTATAACAAAATAATGCGAATAAATTTTACCAATTAATGCAATATCAAATTTTAATGACATGAATTGAACCAATTATTACCAAATCAGAATAAAAATAAATAATTATTTTTAAGACTTAAAATACTGCTAAAATAAAAATTCTAAAACTTTTGTAAATAAGAATAGCAACATAGAAAAAAATGACATTAAAAATGAAACTGATTGTTTAATGTCAAAATAATTTAACTTTTTAAAATTATTTTTTTTATTGTTTTCAGAAAATATACATAGTGCTTATCATCAAGTTCCTCTTGAGAAGGTAGCAGACATTCAGTTACTGGGAATGGTTTTGGACCTGACGAACTATTCACCGTTTTAATTGTGGATAATTGGAGATGGTAATTAAAGAGAAAATAACACATTTATGATCGTTTATATAACAAATTACAAGATTATTCGAATCGAATCCATTGTGTTCGAGTTCGTTACGTATTTATGATTATAAAGCAAAATAAAATTTTAATAGATTAATATGAAGCATCTTTTAGTATATAGATTCACCTGATCACTGATATAGCTAAGAGAGAAACTTACTGTCATCTTTTACAAAAAAGTGTCATTGTTTGTCAAAAATTGTCAAAAATTATTGACAAAAAGTTAACTAAAACTCGTTTTATTTCGTTTCATTTCTCAAAAGTTTTTGATTTGCACAAGAAATGTTTAGACAGTGAGAGAAATGTACTTTTAAAAAATATCTTACAGAACATTCTAAAATTTTTAAGTTCTATTTGAAATGACAAAAATAAATTGAAAACTTCTTGATAGACGACACGTAATTTTAAGAAAATTATATTTGCAATTGTATTCATAGCATGGATACAATTTATTTCAATATTTTATATGTTTTTAATAATTATTATAGGAATATTGAACAGAAAAAGTTAAATAAAATAACGAATATATTTAGCTAACGAAAGTCATATCAATTTTGATAAATAATAGTCATTTCAATGGATAATTTTTAAGAATGAATGCGCAATTAGGTATGAAAAATATCATAAATTATATTTCACAGATAACAAAGAAAGTCAAATGATTGTAGTATTTGTATTTATTTGACAAATATTATTAGCATGTTTTTACAGTATTATATATTCAAATTTTCATTCAAATATGTTCATTATATTTTCATATAAATAATAAATATATTCATTTCTGACTATCATTTCTATACACATCAATGAACTGAAAGACGAATGTATCGTTAGTCATATATAACCTATTTGATGCAGGTTTGATTTCAATTAGCTTCAGATACACTCTTTCCTCAAACATGGGGCTTTCTTTCAAATGTTTCTTTAATAATCTCCCCTCTAAATGAGTATAACTTAAGAACTTGAATGCTTTGTCTTTGACCTCAATTTTGTTAAAATATGTTGTCTGCAAAAACATTCGTAGATAATAATATATTCAGTTTCCATAAAAATTAAATACAAGATCAAAAGTATACGTATACATACCACTTCACGTATGTTCCACACCTCTTTTCGCAACTTGAGGTATCGCGGTTGATTAATGCATGTCTCTCTATGTCTGACAATCGAAAAAATCTGATTAATGGGATTCGTAAGATTGAGTCCGATATAAGATATCGGCAGCACTATGAATTGAAAATCATTCTTTTGAACTTTTGAGTATGGAATCTCGTTGAGAGCCAACTCGCTCGTATTAAAGTCAATTTCAGTATGTGATTTATATGTTATTAAGTATGACGTATTACATTTAGTATTTTTCCATACGTTTTCGATCTCTGTGAATGAGTTGTTTATATGTAATCCAGCTTTCACGTTTTCATCACTTGTCATATTTTGTTCGGACTTAATTTTCAGATTGATGCCGACATTGAATTGCTCAACGACCCATTTGATAATATTAAAGCCGATATCAGAATTTAGCTCCATTGCTAGACTCTGCACACCGTATTTATTAAAGTTTATCTCGAATATCTGTTCCGTATTGATCTTTTCTAACGATGCGCTTTGCGTATTATTTTCGTGCTTCAAGGTTGTCAGGAATGTGACGTTCTGTATGCAACAGATCAGGCCGTCCGATATTTTTGGTTGACACTTTACCATAGCTGTTAAATCCTCAGCTGTAAGAGTTTCTGTGTGTATTACGGTGACTTTGGTCAATTGCAACATATATTCTGAACCCAGGATCCATTTTTCCACATTATCGACGGACAAAATAGTCCCTAACAAATGGAAGGATTTATCAGTTATAATATACAGTCGCATATTTATCGATGAAAAATTGATTCTGTATTTGATTTCTCTTTTAATGAAATTATTTAAAATCTTGATATAAATTAATACAGATATTTGCATGTCTCAAAAAAGTATGCAAATGGATGTTGGTTTCAAAAGAAAGTTGCGAGTAAGCAATGAATAGGACGTTATTTGAACTTGGTAAATTATTTCATTTAATATATTATTTTTTTATGTATTTGTAATCTTGAAAATATTCTATTATAAAGATGTGCTGCATTGAATGCAGCAGTTAAACGTGATTTTATGTGCCAGTAGATAAATATGTGACATTGACCAGTCAAGTGATTTAAGATAATCGTATGTGTTGGCTTACCTAGCAAATATGGAATGAAAGTGACGTACATCTTGTAGTAAACGATTGCCTATCTCATTACTATACATATGCTCGTAATGCCGCAATACTTTCTAGATCCTTCGTTATGCTCAGAATTCACTGCCCGCAGAATGGATAATGAGGCAAAATTACTATCGTCTGTGGTTTATATTACCTTGCCGATAAAATATGATGAAATTCAAACTCTCTTACCCTTGTAATGTAAACAAATAATATTTCGAAGCTGATACTTACGCGTTTTATCGCAAGGATATATAGTTTTTCTAGACATATCTGAAAATGTATGCGCAAACTAAAACATTTGATTTTATATGTAAATTTCTGTATAGATTTCGTATATGATTTATTATATCATAATATTACAAAAATACAATATTTTCCACATCAGGTGGAGGTGCACATCTTCCGAAAAGTAATACAAAGTTTTGGGGAAAAATACATTCCCTTCTAAATGAGTGTGACTTGTGAACTTCGGTTCTTTGTCATGGATCTCCATTTTGTTAAAATATTGTATATTATATAGTATAAAAATATTAAATTATTAAAATATCATTTTTTACAAAAAATGGTTATTCCGACTATTACTGACAAGAGTTAACTAAAATCCGCTATCCCTCATTGATTAGAAGACGAGAAAGAAATCATCAGTTTGACAAATGTTCTTAGAATGTTTTTACAATTTTTTTCTATTTATTCAACCATTTGAACAGCTATTTAACGACAAATTCCGCTTTGCCTTCTCAGATTTTATTGATCTCTTATCTTTCGGTGTATTTTATTTATTAATTAATTATTTATCTATCCTATTTCTCTTTGATTTCATAACGGTCTCATTCAAATACACTTGCATAATTAGTCTGTGCAGGTATAATACGGAGTAGGTGGAGGTGCACATCTATCGAAAAGTAATTCAAAGTGTTTGGGAAAATACATTCCCGTCTAAATGAGTGTGACTTGTGAACTTCGGTTCTTTATCACGGATCTCCATTTTATTAAAATATTCTATCTGTAAAAATAAACAATAGAGACATAATATAAAATTCAATTTGGATGGAAAAATAAAAACTAATTAAGTCTAACAAAATATTAATTTTCTTCCAGAAAAGAAAAGCAAAAAAAATATATATATATATATGTGTGTGTTATGCACACCTGCTTATATGCATATATGTACCTATGTATGTAGGCATATATAGCGCGCATGTAGAATTGCAATAAAAAAATTGTTTTTTACTCTAATATTTGATAGATAATTTTTCTCTGTTTTCATAAAAATGTGATAGAAAAGTATAAAAGTATATGTAATTACCACGTTGTGAATCTTCCAATTCTTGTCAAAAAGACTGAGGTATTGCGGATTATAAGAGCATGCCATTCTAGTTCTCTCTATCGAAAAAGTCTTACCGTTGGGATTCGTGTAAGATATCGGTAGCAATTTGAGGTGAAAATCGAATTTCGTTTTATTCCTTCTGACTTCAAATTCTCCATCTTTGTTATATTCGTTTGATGGTGTATACGTAATGATGCATGACGTGGTACAGTTATAAGCTCTTAACGTGTTTTCATTTTGCGGGAAAGAGCTGATTACATGTGATCCATTTTTCACGTTTTCATAATTTTTCATGCTCTCTCCAGCTGCGACACTCAAATCAATGCCAATGTGGAATTGCTCAATGGCATCTATGATGCTGTCACCAAGATGTGCATGCTTACTCTTACTGCTTGTTTTCATTTCAAAAACTCGCACACCTAGTCTCCCAAATTCTATTTCAAATAATTGGTCTGGCACTTTATTCGTTATTACATGGGAACTGAAAGACATTATGTGTCTTATTCTGCTTATTTTAAGTATACTCATATTTTCATACACCGGCCGCATCATCATTGAGATAATGATTTCGTGTGCATGACAGCATAGATTATTTTCGGCCGATTCTTTTAGACGACAATTCACTATAGCAGTTATATCTTGAATTTCTATACGATCTGTGTATACTATAATGGTGTTGTTCAGTTGGAACACGTATTCTGGACCAAACATCCATTCCGTCACGTTTTCGACGGATATAAGAGTCTCTAAACAGACGGAAAGTCATAATATTAAATCAGTTATAATATTAAAACACTATTATCTATTTATCGATAAAAAGTTGTATATAAAAATTGTGTGCTACATAAGTGAGCATACTCAAGCTTGATAATTTCTTATTTGCATAATGTTATTTTTTAAATATATTTTAATCTAAAAAATATTTTACTATAGAATGGTGTATAATGCTCCAATGGAGGCAGCAGTTAAACATGATTTTATATTCGAGTAAACGAATATGTAACATTGACAAATGAAAGTGAATTGAAATAATTGTACTTTGTTGGCTTACCTAGCAGAAATGGAATGACGGTAACATTCAACGATAACATCTTACTGTAATCGATTGCCTGACTCGTTACGTTTAGTGTCTGCTTATAATGCTTTCAGTAAGTCCTCTATTACATACTCCGAATTCACCGCTCGCACGATGGATAATGAAATAAATTCCTTTTGTCCTGCGGTTTATATTACCTTGCCGATACAACATGATAAAATTCAAACGTCGATCTCTTGTAATGTAAATAATAATATTTCAAAGATGATACTTATGTGTCTTACCGTAAGGTAATATAACCACTTTTTTCTAGGGATATTTAAAAATGTGTGCGCAAACTACGAAAATTTGATTTTGTACGTATATTTGTACGAAGATTTCATATATAATTTATTATATATTGTTATAAAAAATATTAAACTATTAAAATATCATAATTTTTTACGAAAAATTATTATTCCGATTATTATTGTCAAGAGCTGACTAAAATTTACTATCCCTCATTGATTAGAAAACAAGAAAGAAATCATTAGTTTGACAAATGTTCTTAGTGTATACGTCATGATATATGACGTGTTAGCATAATTTTACAATTTTATTTATTCAATCTTTTGAACAGCTATATAACGACAAATTCCACTTTGCCTGTAAGCCTTCTCAGATTTTTTTTATCTCTTATGCTTCGATGTAATTATTTATCTGTCCTGTTTCTCTGATTTCATAATCTCATTCATATTCAGCTGTATTATTATTTTGCGCAGGTCTGATACGGAGCAGGTGGAGGTACACATCTTCCGAAAAGTAATACGCATGCATATTTCTTGGGAAAAATACATTCCCTTCTAAATGAGTGTGACTTGTGAACCTCGGTTTTTTGTCATGGATCTCCATTTTATTAAAATATTCTGTCTGTAAAAATAAACAATAGACATAATATAAAATTCAATTTGGATGGAAAAATAAAAACTGATTAAGTCTAACAAAATATTAATTTTCTTCCAGAAAAGAAAAGCAAAAAAAATATATATATGTTATGTACATCTGCTTATATGCATATATGTATGTACAATATGTAGGCATATATAGTGCGCGCGTATATACATACAGCATTTACAAACAATTGGGGAATTGCAATGAAAAAAGAATTGTTATCTAAAGTACTGTTCGATAATCAATTTTCTCTGTTTTCATAAAAATGTGATAGAAAAATATAAAAGTATACGTAATTACCATGTTGCGAATCTTCCACTTCTCATCAAAAAGCGTAAGGTATTGCGGTTGATGAGTGCATGTCATTCTAGTTCTCTTTATCGAAAAAGTCTTACTGTTGGGATTCGTGTAAGATATCGGTAGCAATCTGAGGTGAAAATCGAATTTCATTTTATTCCTTCTCACTTTAAATTCTCCATTTTTATTACATTTATTTGCTGGTGTATACGTAATGATACATGACGTGCTACATTTAGCTCTTGTCGTGTCTTCATTTTGCGGAAAAGAGCTGATTACATGTGATCCACTTTTCACGTTTTCATAATTTTTCATGCTCTCTCCAGCTGCTACACTCAAATCAATGCCAATGTGGAATTGCTCGACGATATCTGTGACGCTGTCATAATGATGTGCCTGTTTTCTCCTTGTTTCTACTTTAACACCTTGCACACTTTGCACACCTTGCCTGCCAAATTGTATTTCAAATAATTGGTCTGACATTTTATTCGATACTACTAAAGGAATGATACCCTTTATGCGAGTTATTGTATTTGTCCTTATAGTTTTATACATCCGCCGCTTCAACATTGAGATAATGATCTCGTGTGCATGACAGAGTAGAGTGTTTTGGGACGATACTTTTGGACGACAATTCACCTTTGCAGTTATATCTTGAAATTCTATACGGTTCTTGAATACTATAGTGGTTTTGTTCAGTTGGAACACGTATTCTGGGCCGAAATTCCATTGCGTCACGTCTTTGACCGACATAACAGCCCCTAAACAGACGGAAAGTTCAATCAGTTATAATATTAAAACACTATCACCTATTTATTGATAAAAAGTTGTATATAAAAATTGTATGCTACATAAGTGGGCATACTTAAGCTTGGTATAATTTCCTTTTTGCTTAATATTATTTTATAAATATATTTTTAACCTTTAAAATATTTCACTATAGAGTAATGTATAATGCTTCGATGGAGGAAGCAGTTAAATATGATTTTATATTCGAGTAAACGAGTATGTAACATTGTCAAATAAAAGTGAGTTGAAATAATTGTACTTTATTAGCTTACCTAGCAGGAACGGGATGACGGTAACATTCATCGACGATAACATAATGCCATAATCGCTTGCCTGCCTCGTTACGTTAAATGTCTGTTTATAATGCTGCTGCTCTCACTAGATCCTCTATTACATGCTCCGAATTCACCGCCCGCTCAATGCATAATAAGTCACATTATTATTATCCTGTGGCTTATATTACCTTGCCGATACAATATGATGAAATTCAAACGTCGATCTCTTATCCTTGTCATGTAAATAATAATAATTCAAAGATGATACTTATGCATTTTACCGTACGGATATATAACCAGCTTTTTCTAGGCGTATTTGAAAATGTGTGCGCAAACTACGAAAATTCTATTTTATACGTATATTTGTAGGAAGATTTCACATATAATTTATTATATATTGTTATAAAATTATTATATTATACTATTAAAATATTAGTTTTTACGAAAAATTGTTATTATTCCAAACATTACTTACAAAAGCTAACTAAAATCCATTGTATCTCATTGATCAAAAGTTTTTGGTTTATGTAAGAATAGTATAAACAATCAATGATATGTATTGAAAGAAAACACCTTAGCATTATAAAATTTAAAAATTTTATTTTCAATAATAGGAATAATTTGAAATAATTTTCATAATCGATGATACGTAATTTTGAGAATATTGTGTTTTCAATATTTCTATAGTAAATATGTATGGCAATATTAAATATTTAATATTTTTTTAATAATTAATATAAAATATTAAATAAAAAAATTTTTTTAACTGAATAATGAATATATATGATCAACAAGTTATTTTAACTTTGATAAACAATAACAGTATAATTTTAATGGATATTTTTTAAGGATCAACCATAAAATTTTTTAAGGATCAACCATAAAATGTCAGGAAAAATATCATACATCACAGAAGAAAAAAAAATTTTAATTAAACAAATATCCTTAGCATGTTTTTACAATTTTATTTATTCAAGCTTCTGTACAGCTATATAATGTCAAATTCTGGTTTGCTTATAAACCCTCTCAGATTTTAAAATCTTGTGTTTCAGTATAATTATGTTTTTGTCGGTTTCTTCAATTTCATAACGGTCTTAATCATATTCAACTGTATTAAGCTCTTCTCGTGCAGCTTCGATACGGAGTAGATGGAAGTACACATCTTCCTCAAATTTATGTACTGAGTTTGTGCTTATTGGAAAATAAACATTCCCCTCTAAATGAGTATGACTTGTGAACTTTCGGTTTTTGTCATGGATATTTAGTATGTTAGAATACTGGAACTGTAAAAATAATCAATAGAGAGATAACACATAAAATTCAAGTTGGATAAAAATATAAAAACTAAATCTAACAAAATATTAATTTTCTCCCAGAAATAAAAACAAAAATTATTATAAAAATATATGTTATATACACCTGCTTATATGCATATATGTATATATGTCGGCATATACAGCGCGCACGTATATACACATACATACATGCAGTACTTACAAACAATTGAGGAATTAATAACAATGAAAAAAGAAATGTTAAGTAATGTTTGATAATTAATTTAGTCTGTTTTCATAAAAATGTGAGAGAAAAGTATAAAAGTGAAAAAGTATAATTACCATATTGTCAATCTGCCATTCCTCGTTAGAAAGCATGATATATTGCGGTTGCTGAGTGCATGCCATTCTATTTCTCTCCATCCACAAATTTTTACTGGTGGGTTCTATGTAAGATATTGGTAACAGTCTAAGTTGAAAAAATTTTTCGCTTTTATTATATTGATATGATGTATCGATTGGATACATAATCACTCCTGACGTGCTGCATTTAGAAGCTCTCACCGTGTCTTCCTCATATGGCATGAAAGTGCTGATTACATATGATTCAATTTTATGAGTTGGCATGCTGTCTCTTTCTACGATACTCCAATCACTGCCAATATTGAATTGATCGATGATATTTGTGATGATGTCATAATAATGTAGTTCCTTTTTTATTTCTTTCACTTTAAAATTCTGCACACCTTGCCTGCCAAACTCTATTTTAAATATATGGTCTGGTATATTTGTTGATCCTTCATGAAAATTGATGGACTTACTGCCATTTATATCAATAGATGTTTCCAACAAGAGATTGACATTATTTTTCCAATTATGTATCTGCCGCGAGAGAATTGGACGGCCGGTGATCGTCTTCGCATGACAGAACAGAATATCTTGGATACTTTGGAGCGATAATTTTGGACGACACCACACCATAGCAGTTACATTTTCGGTTAAATAAATTCCTAGCTTTGGATCCACGTATATCTTAGTGAGTTTGTTCAATTGGAATACGTATACTGGACCGAAATTCCATTCTTCCACGTCTTCGACGGACATTAAAGCCCCTAAACAAACGGAAAGTTCTATCAGTTATAATATTAAAACACTATCATCTATTTATCGATAAAAAATTGTATATAAAATTCTTTGCTACATAAGTGGGCATACTTAAGATTGGTATAACTTCTTTTTTGCTTAATATTATTTTTTAAATGTATTTGTAATTAATCTTTAAAATATTTCACTATAGAGTAGTGTATAATGCTCCATTGGAGGCAGCAGTTAAACATTTCATATTTGGAAACGAATAAATTGTAACATTGACAAATAAAGGTGAATTGAAATAATTGTACTTCGTTGGCTTACCTAGCAGGAACGGGATGACGGTAATATTTATCAACGATAACATCTTGCCGTAATCGATTGCCTATCTCGTTACGATACGTGTCTGCTTATAATACTGCTACTCTCACTAGATCCTCTAATACATGCTCCGAATTCACCGCCCACAGGATGGATAATGAGGCAAATCACTTTTGTCCTGTGGTTTATATTACCTTGCCAACACAATGTGATGAAATTCAGATGTCGCTCTCTTATCCTTGAAATTCAATAATAATATTTCAAAGATGATACTTATGTGTCTTATCGTAAGGATATATAACCAGCTTTTTTTAGATGTATTTAAAAATGTGTGCGCAAACTACGAAAATTTGATTTTATACGTATATTTCTATGAAGATTTTATACATAATTTTTTATATATTGTTATAAAATTATTATAATTATTATAAAATTATTATATTATATTATTAAAATATTAGTTTTTACGAAAAATTGTTATTATTCCGAACATTACTTACAAATGCTAACTAAAATTTATTGTATATCATTGATCAGAAGTTTTCGGTTCATGTAAGAATAGTATAAACAATACAATGATATGTATCGAAAGAAAACACCTTAGCATTATAAAATTTAAAAATTTTATTTTCAATAATAGGAATAATTTGAAATAATTTTCATAATCGATGATACGTAATTTTGAGAATATTGTGTTTTCAATATTTCTATAGTCAATATGTATATGGCAATATTTGATATTTAATATTTTTTTAATTAATATAAAAATATTAAATAAAAAAAATTTTTTAACAGAATAATGAATATATATGATCAACAAGTTATCTTAACTTTGATAAACAATAACAGTATAATTTCAATGGATATTTTTTAAGGATCAGCTGTTAAATGTCAGGAAAAATATCATACATCACGGAAGAGAAAAAAATATTAGTTAGACAAATATCCTTAGCATGTTTTTACAATTTTATTTATTCAAGCTTCTGTACAGCTATATGATGTCAAATTCTGGTTTGCCTATAAACCCTCTCAGATTTTAAAACCTCTTGTGTTTTAGTATAATTATGCTTTTGTCGGTTTCTTCGATTTCATAACGGTCTCAATCATATTCAGTTGTATTAAGCTCTTCCCGTGCAGCTTCGATACGGAGTAGATGGAGGTACACATCTTCCTCAAACTGTACTAAGGTTGTTAACATTTCAAAATAAACATAACCCTCTAACTGAGTATAACTTGTGAACTTCGGGTTGTCGTCGCGGATATTTATTAAGTTAGTATACTTGGTCTGTAAAAATAATTAATAGAGAGATAACATAAAATTCAAGTTGGA